ATGTTCAGTATGCATAGGTTTTTCTTTTACCACCTACACCCCCACAATTAGGAAGCTTTCTGAAGCATGGGCAACTACTGGTCACGGGGCAGGAACAGAGGCAGCTGTGTGAAATCGTGACCTCCAAACTTGGCTCAAACATCAACCTGCTCCAGAGCTTATGCAAGGTATGTACACATTTTCCCACTGGGCAAGTATTGATAATTACAGGCACTCTGACTGCATCTTGATTTTACTGAGGCTTAGTTAATTATCCAGGCATTGCCCTAATATATGAGACAAATTGAGAGAGGGATCCAAAAGCACATGAAGATGGAAGAGCCACAAAATTCTCTTTGAATGCTTTATGCTCTTGAGAGTCTGTAATTACTGCCAGTTTTTGCCTAAAGATATGCTCAAAGGTCCCACCATCTTGGTTGGATTACTCATGTCAGCATCTTATATACAGGCAATTGCATTTGGGGTTCACAAAGAAGCCAGAGCAGCAACACAGCTCCTTAAGGGAGGCGCTGAGCAGACAGACACCGCCACATTCATCACAAATCATAGCACAGCAGCCATTTACATGAACTGCAAAGCATAGAGCAGGAGGTTTTGCTTATCTGAGCTTCCAAATTGTTACCTCCCCACAAGCAGTTAGCACTAATCAGACGATAAGAGCAGGGCTAGACAGGAAGGCTGGCTGGTTGCAATGGCAAATTGTGAGAGGGAGGAAGTGTGTGGGGAAGCAGGTGAAAAATTCATCGCAGTGGTGTGGGGCAGGAAGGCAGGGGGGACACCACTTGAAAAACAGCAGGAGTTTTGGCTGAGGAAGATGGCTGAGAAAGGAATGGAGGCACACTGGAGGTATTCACAGGCTCACAGGCAACCGATATTCCCTGCAATTGCTGTGGGCACCCAAGCAAGTCCTTGCTAATGGTCCTCACAGTCAGTGGTGCTCCTCCCAGCTGCACCTAGGCAAAATACATTTGGAAAGACCAAGCCCAGTCATTGCAGCAGTCAGCAGAAACTAGACTGACTGCACTCCCTCCTCAGCCTGAGGAAATGCAAACTCAGCGCCTTTTGGCACCCAGGTAAGTGCCTGGAACACATGGCTTCTTCCTAATGACATGGGGCCGCCCTGAGAGGAAGCAGACTGGACTGACGGGGCTGGGAGCAGGCCTGTTCCTGGGGAGGACACCTAGAAAAGCCTGGAGTCCTGACCTACATCCTCACGCCAAGCAATTTGCGAGTCTACGACCTTCACCTGGCAAGACAGTGATTCCAAATGTGTAAATACCACTAAAGGCCAGAAACAGAACGAGAACATCCCCAGGCCGGTGAGCTCCCTTCTTTCTCACTCCTAGACAAGGCCTCGCACTGTCTTTCTGCACTGCATCTCAGCTCCAAGAGGAGAGTCGCACAGCCTGCCCTAGTGCAGACAGAACATTTCAGAAATTTGAAAAATAAATTTCATTTTCACAATGTTTGCGGTGAGAAATTAGAGCTATTTGCTGGCCTGCACTGAAGCACTCCCTTTCAGCTATTTGTATTACAGGTGGGATTCTCGATTCCACAATAATTCCAGGAGAAAATTAACGAGATGAGCACAGATTCGTACTAGTTCTGCTCTTGATTTGTGGTAGTTGTTTTTCAATTCAACAAATTAAGTTAAAGGTAAGCATTGGCTTCACATGCAAGACTGTAATTCCTGCTTCATTTGTAATATATTGAGAGGCATAAGCTACATCAAGCATATACTCTTAGACTGTAAAGAATACATATAAGAAAAATCATGTTTAGCTCCAATGCACTGAGAAAACTGTTTATAGACGTATTAGAGCAGAGAGAAAAATGTTTTGATGACGATTCTTCATCAGATGCACACTGAAGAGCCTATATCGAGTCTGACTTTTGATAAAACTGAGCAGTACCAGAAGAGCCATGCTCAAAGAAAATACGTTTCTATTATCTCCATCACAGATAGCTGTGCCCATGCACTTACTTTAATTTATTTGTTCCATTTGCTACTGTTTATAACCTGAAAGATGTATAAATCTATTTCTCTTCAAAGCACATTCATTTGCCCCACAAACTGACCAAAAATATGCAAAGACTACTTTGATTTTTATTATCTCACCTACATAAACATACCGATTTCCTTAACCCTACCAAGACAAAATAGTCTTTTCTTTTTATTGCAGTCCAGAGGAAGTTATGCCTTTAATTTGGATCTTAAATTTAACTGCTATTTATCTACATCTCTTGCTTCAGGCTCTCCATCAGGAACAAAGCTACCACCTCTGTTTCACTGGTACCCTTAATACTCTGTCTTTAAAGCTCAGTTCTGCTGACTCAGAGATCAACACTGTCATTGCAGGTGAGAATAAAAGCTTCCATCTATTAAAAACAAAGTTGCTTCATGGACATACCATCTTATTGCAGAAAGTATAGATATGAATCAAAAACCAGGTGTCAAGCATCATCCCTTATTCCAAGAAAAGTACAATCTTAATGTTTATTTTAAAACGTTTGTTAGAAAGGAAAGCATTAATATGAAATGCTTTAAACACTCTTTGGCAGAACTCTTAAAATGGCAATGATCACCAGGACTTTAAGAATAACAATTGGAAATGCTTTAGAAGTGGAGCCACTAAAGTATTTTCATTGATTAAATGCCCGCTGGCATTACATATATATACTCAACAACAAGACATATAGTTTGACATTTCCTGACCTGGTGATTTCATGGCTTAAGAAGAGGAAGGTAACACCTGTAAACTATATTACCTGAAATTTAGTTTCAGTTTTGTCATCAAATTAATGTACATGCTCATTGCAAACACAGACCCTTAAATGAAAGATATTTTTTAAAAACATCCCAGTTGATTTAATATAAAAATGAAATCTATCACTTAAAACTGAACAACTTCGTCTTTATTTCAGCTGCTGTATTCCTTTAATTCTTTATGTTCCTGTTGGTAAACTGAAATGGAACTGACCTAAAGGAGGTGAGTTAACAGAAATGGAATAATTCTAACCCAGGTTTTAAAACTTAATGGTTTTTTCACTGTCTTTTAGCACACTGTCCATTCCAGATCCCAATCTCCCCTTGCCTCCCAACCACGAGCAAGGTAATACAGATGGTTACTGCAAAGCTCTTCAGATGTGCATCTGAATGTATATTATTTATCCACTTGGCAAGATCTTGCTATACCTGTAAGGAAATCTGCATTATAATGGAACTTTGGTCTCCTGTCTGTGCGAGGAAGCAGCCACGATATTAATAGTGCTGCTACAGACAACGCCAGGCAATATCATGTGAAATGACCGCAGCTGAGCTAGCTAGTGCAGCACGGCTAATTTACACCTCTGAAAACAAACACTCACTTGGGCAAGGGAAACAAGCGTGTATCTACACCTACATCAAAACTCATTCTCATTTGCTTGTTTTTGGGAGCAGAAACTGATAACACAAGATAACTCCACCAGATGTTGTGGTGAAAGAATACTACGTAGGTGAGTGTTTGATACAGTCATCAGAAAAGAAAACTGAACTTAGGAGCTTTATTCCACTGTAAGCACAGTTTTAACAAGCACTGCCAGTCTGTGATAGCTGCTTTTGTTCTGGTTATGTCTTTGTTCCCGCAGCTGGGAGAAGAGCTGTCTTCCTTATAATGAAAGCTATGTACTTAATAAGTAACACCTGAAAATCCTTCAAGAGAATAAACTATAGCAATAGAAAATGCAAGTTTAGAGAGCACTTCCTGAAAGGGAAAAAAAACCCAAACAAACCAAGTAGCACTGGAATCTTCTCTTTATCTCAGGTCAATTGACTTGTCACAGTGGGAAGGAGATTTGAAAAGGAAATTGCAAGTTCTTAGCAAGTATGATTCGAGGAATTGAGTTAATAGCCAGCAATCAGTACAGGTTCAGTAGGGTACTTAAAAATTTAAATATATGCATACAGCACAACTACAGAATGCCTGAGCTTTGTCTTGTTTGTATAAAAAAAAAAAAAGGAAAAAAAAAGGAACAACAGGCAGTTTAAATCTCAAACAAATATGGTAATTTTTTTACATAGGTGGCTGGGGTTTAAGTGTTCTTCCATTAAAAAATTCCCTCACTCCAGCATACAACTGAGGTACATAAATTGAGGTATATAAATCAGATGTGTCTCTGATCTTGTTTTATTCTAGTAATCCTCCCAGTACCAACAGGATCCTAACATGGTATGTGCTTTCAGATGATACAATTTCTCACCCTATGGAAAGTTGCTGCATATCACGTTGGTAGCATATAAATGACTTCTGAACTTCATTTTTCATTGCTGTTTCTTTAAGCCATTTCAGCTCACTAGCTTATTGTCTTACATGTCAAAATTAAAAGAACAGTTTTCTGACTGGAGAAGCTGCTTTATCCATACTCCTGAATAATATGCATCGGATTTGGAAAACTACAGATACAAATGAGCATGACAACACCTTTAATGAGAAAACAGCTTAATCTGAGAGGGCTGCATAAGTCATCATCTCTCTCAAGAAATGTGACTATATCTCAAAGGCCTTCTTATCAATGCACACCTTTTCTGCATGCGTTATTTCCAAGAGTATTTCCAAGAGAATGACAAAAGAAGGTCTCATCTAGACTACTAGTAGTTCCCCTTTCCAACCAAAGAAGGCGCATATTATAGATTGCAGAAATTTGTAGGTGGATAAAAGGCAAGAAAATTATAGGACAGTGACAAATATAAATAATTTCATTTCCATAAGCTTCTAATTCCTCTGAGGAAGAACGTAGATTTTGCATGGTCATCGTTAACAAACAAATGCATGCCCTGCAATGAAGTAGTATGAGACCAGAGGATGAGTTTCAAGCTAAATGCAAACTAGACTCGCCTCCGAGGCAGGGAAAGGACAGGTCCTAGAGAGTGCAGCATGGCTCAGTGCCCACATGTCCAACAGACTAGTAATGTTAGATTAGCTAATTTTTGCATTGTTTGAGAAACCTTTTATACTTACTGTAATTCTTTCATCTTTGTCATCTAGAGGGGTCCCATCTTTTTTCCATGATATAGTGGGTTCTGGGTGACCTCTTGGGGGCTGACATTCCATGACTGCGGGTTCACCCACTGCTACCATTACATCTGATGGATTTTGTCTGAAGTCATCCCGTAGAACTGAAAGAATAAAGGAAATTAAGTAAAAAGTTACCCAATAATACAGCAAGAGCACAACAAATTTTGGTTTGGCCTTTAAAGGTCCTTGTTGTCTCTGTACTTTATATTAACGAACACCTTGGTTAATGGATTCCATTTGGCATCTGCAGACAGTCTCTGGGACTCCACAGAGCAACTAAGAAAACTCATGTACAACTCATATTTAACTTTCAACATCCAAGCCACGTGACTAACACCGATACAGGTGGAAGGCTGACACAGACAGAGGACTGTCCCCACAAAGTGATGCTTCACTGGTAGGTCTTGGCATAGTGTTTGCCTTGTGTTTGAGCACAGGAATCCTATCCCAGCTGAAGAAGGGACAATGCGTTCTGCTCAGGTAGAATGTCCCTTGGGGAGAATCATGGCAGAGGTTGCTTCCTGCCCCTCTTTTTCTGAGACACAGGGTCAGCCTGACGATAACTCAAAGGTCTATGATTAAAGATTGGCCACTGACCATACGAATTGCATCCATCCCTGAATTTACAGCAAAATGAACAAAGTAACTAAACTTCCCACTTCTTTGATAACATTATAAGTTGCCAGACATTTATGCAGATTTATCTTCTTTCTGCAGACTAGGGTAAATGCAAAAAGTTTGCAGCTATAGAAGTAATCCAGGTTACATCTAGAGGAAATCATCTGTTGTCAGAAAGGCGAATAATATCATTTTTAGTTATTTAGCAAGGCAAATCAAATGACCAATCCTTTAGCTTCCTTCATCTTTCAACAAAACATTCTTGAGTCTAACCTGCATTTTCTTACAGCTTCCTTATCACATTCCCCTAAATATTCACACATCACAATTGGATACATCAAATTATTTTGATTATGGGAGTGTTAAAATACTACTCACTGAAAACTGTATATATACTTACTCCATTTATACTGAATATGGCTTTAATAACCAGATGCAACTTGTTGTGTTCCCAGGTAGCCCCTGAGCCAATCAGATAGAGTACATCATTGTCCTGGTTTAAGCTAAATAGAACCAATTCTGTTCAGTGACTTTTATTTTCCAGTTCAGTCTCTTCTGCACTTTCTGAAGTTCGCAGCATGTTTCTGCAGACAGTGTGTGCTACTGGCAGTGATAACACCTGATGTTTGCAGTTACTGCCTGGGACTGGGATGCAGAAAGGCTCTTGCTGCCACTTATTCCTACAGTGACCAAGGCCACGGCTGGCTCTTGTGTGCCACGCTGGGGGTGCCGGGTAGTGAGAGGGGTCACAAGGAAGTAAAAGGTGGCACCTCTAGGGGGTAATAGACAGGGCAGGTGACCAAAAAGAGTGTTCCGTTCCATATATGTAATTTTCAACATAAAACTGAGGGATCATGAGGGTTTAGGTCTCCTTCTTCCTGGAGTCCAGGGAGGACTCCATCCAGTCTTCTGCCTTTGATCCTGAGTTCCTGCATCCAGCTCCCCACTGCCACTGAGCCGCCTGCTCTGCAGCACCAGTGGTGACTGCTATGGCGGAGGGAGCAGGGTTTAATATCGCGTTTGTATATATGTATATAGTTCACTGTTCAATAAAGCTGTTTTAATTTACTTTTTTCCAATCTGTAAGTCTCTCTGCCTTATTCCCTTTTCCTTCCCGTTTGGGGAGGGAGAGGGGGTTAGAGAGCATCTCTCGGGGTTCAGTGGCCTGTCCAGTCCTAACCCGTGACAATCATGCAGTGTGGCTAGGCCAACACTGTTTCTGCTGAAGTAAAAAAATTTTTCTATTCACTTTAAGAGAGACTTGATCTGGTCATACCATTCCTTCCTTTTTTTTTTTTTTTTTAACTTCTCCAAACTAAAGAACATAAAAAGAAGAAGAAACAGAAGTTGCATCAAGTTACTGAAAAAAACCCCATATATCCAGTTCCCGTTGCCAACAGCACATGGAAGCGCAGAAAAATTTATTTGCTACACCACAGGGCTATTGCAACACAATAAAAGGGGTATTTTGACCACGAGTAAGTAGCCTTTTATTACAGCTGAAGATTGTATCACTTGGGCAAAGCTGAGATACACAAAAAGAAATGCCCTTAAGTTAAAAAAAAAAAATCAAGTGAAGTGATCTTAATAAAACATAAGTGCTTTTTAAGTCTGAAAGACCTCATAAATCCTATCAGATAGCACCTCAATGGCTTTTAGCACATTTGAAGCAACAAAGAAGTCCAGTACTTGCATAGTAAAAACAAATTACTTCAGTAATTTCTGAACTCCTCAGTCTTATGTCAGCTTTACAAGCACAGTACCTTGTCTGTAAACCAAGACCTTTCGCAAATTAACCAATGCTTAATAGAATGCCTTAGGAGGACATCAAAGGCCCAGGCCATAGTTTCATCAAAAGTTGAAGGTTTTTTCCCATTTACTATGAATTATTTTGGCTCTAACATTACATAATGGAATACTAACAAAATGTAATCCATTAGAGATTACTCCACAGATAGTCGTCATCTAATTATTTTTGCAGCTGTAAAGTAGATACATGCTCCGCTTTTTGCCTCAGGCCCTGGCAATCTTGCACAAGAAGTTATAAATTCAAAATTTTCTTCCCTTACTGAAAGAAAAAACATCTTTTCTTCTCTGTCCTTCATAGTCAAGGCTCACTGTAAATTGAGAATACATTTCCTTTTGAAGATATATTGTAAGTATACTTTGTAATCCAATATAGCATGTGCTTTCAGTCACCAAAGGGTCAAATTTCACCACATGCACCTCTTTCTACACATATGCAGCTGGAATAAAAATAGATGAATTAAGAGGATGCTTGCCTCTTTCTCTCTTTTTTTTAAAAAAAAAAAAAGAAATTCAGTGTATAATCTTCACAGATATAAACTCACCTCCTACCTACATTTATTTCTGACATACTGCGGGTAAGGTTTTATAAAACACAACGAGTAATGACTGCAATTATTGTCATTGCACAGCTCGGACAACTGCATGCTCTTGCTGTGTGAACTCTGAACTCCTGTGTTTGTGCTGAAAACACTTTAATGCTATGCTTGCTGAACTAATCAGGTTCAAGAGCAACTTCTGCAACTCCACTTAAAAGTCAACTACTCATACAACTATTTAATATTGTATACTTGTCTATCAATAAAACGATTGCCCTTTCCCCAGAGAATCTTTCCTAGAACAGAAAGGGAATCACTTGACAAGTAATCTAAGTACAGACAGCATTTTTTTTAGGTGTAAACCCTAAACTGCTTTTCAAAATGCAGTACCCAGTGCTTTTTTCTTAAGCTCTTCTTTAGCTACTATGCCAAAGATTAGGGAGTCACTACTGAGTGAAAGGGGAGGCAGGCAGGCAGGCACTGCAGATATTTAAGAAAGGTTATTGTTAAAGTTTATCTAGTTTTGTTTATCTAGTTCAAAGCCAAGAAAAACATAAAAAAAAAACCAACCAGAAAACTCTAGTCAACATATGAAAAGAATGTTTGTAAGGAACACACTAATTACCATCATACATTGTGGATATCATGCCTCAACAGGTGGTATCACTTAAGAAGTGGAAACAAGAAAATCTCCTGAAAATTTTGATTACAGGTCTATTCTAGTCTAGACACTTCATGCTAGATCAATTCAAAGCAATGCACCAAAACACATCTGGAATCCCTAATCAACCAAGATATTACAGCCATGGTCACTGAGCGAGCAGAGGAAGAGAGGGAAATTAAGATGTTTGGGGTGCAGTTTCATAATTAGATCAAGGCAATCTTAATCCATTTCAGTTCTTATAGAAGACATTATCCAGACTTGCTTTCCACTGGCTCTCTTGCATTGTCCCAGACCAAGCATGCGACTTTGCAAGTCTACTTGTTAGAGATCAGCGAGCCAAAGTATCATGCACTTAGACAGCAGCAGAGAGATCCCACCAATTTCCACTCTTTCAGTAAGAAGATAATTTGTTTCTTTGCACTGCAGCACGTGCCTCAAAAATAGGGGGAAAAAAAAGTGAAATTGAAGAAATGCTCATTCCTCACATTGCTTTAGAAAACAACCACACCTCAGCTAATAAGCAAATTTCCACCCAGTAAACAAAAATGTGCTAAAGCTGAGCAATGCAACATTAATGGCCCACTGCCCTGCTCTTTGTCTTATTTTGTTGAAACTGCCATGTAATAGACTTTCATTTTTTTAATACCAAGTAATTTTAAAATTTTAATTCCTGCAAATTTATAACAAGTTTTTCAACATTTCCCTTTTTCTCTACAAAACCACAGTACTACAAAGAAAGTTTCCATCTAATACTTAATCTGACTAACAAAATATGAGAATCAGAACAATAATAAATTAGCACTTGCTTTAAAATGATGCAGAATAGGAAAATGAAAAATGTGATTCAGGAGGTTATATAAATATTCTAATCCTATGAAGTCATAATCAAAGAGAAACTAATTATTTCTTAGTCAAGACTGAGCTGTTACTCAAAAGCAGAATGTTTCCTGCAATTTAGGACCAGCAATGATCTCTTTTCCCCACTACCTACTGAACTTGTAATTCAAATTAACTGAGACTAAGCAGATATTTTTGGCATTCAAATAGACTCTAAGATGCTTGTTGGTTGGAACGGTGCTTCAAACCAGGTGCTTAATTTTAATTACAACTAACTTAAGCAACAATCAGAACTATGGTACTTGTTTAAAGACTTTGCTGGCATTAAATTTATACAGATGTCAGAGCATCATTTGTAATACATGCATACCACTTACAGGAAAAGTCCTATAGCACCTAATTAAGTTAAAAAGAACAAAAATACATGTATGATCAGATTTAAGTCAACATGTGTGTTATCAAAATGTATTTAACACCTTATTAAACTCCTTAAGAACGCTATCTGGTTTGACCAAGAATTTAATCAATTAAACATAAGAAATACTCTTTTCTGAGGATAATACCCTAAAAGGTTCCATGTAGTCACATAAAATTAAAAGAAAAACTGGTTACCTGAAAAAAAATAATTTATTTTCCT